AGAAGGTCCGAAGCCTTGGTCTTCTGAAAGCTTCTAAGGGCACACCGAGATCAGTGGTCACAGCAGACAATCATACTGGACAGGTGCTGAGGCTGGCGCAGGGTAAGCAACTTGCTTAGAACAGACTGGGAGCCGGGCGCTGGTGGCGCATGCCTTTAATCCCAGCACTTAGGAGGCAAAAGGAGGTGAATCTTTGTGAGGTCAAGGCCAGCCTGGTCTATAGAGCCAGGACAGACTCCAAAGCTACACAGAGAAACCCTGTCTCAAAAAACAAAAACAAACAAACAAAAACAACAGAATGTGGGGAAGAAAGACCCATAGCAGAGGACAGGACCTACAGGAAGCCAGGTCCAGAAAAGTCCTCAGGCCCACAGAGGTGGCCCTATAGCTGCCTAAGCTGCAGTCTGGCTGTGGCTGCCCTGACTTGCCTTTCTAGACTGTGGCTTGAGATCACAGGAAGCTTCTGGGCATTTAGGAGCCCAGGACTCCAAACCCAAACTGCTTCCTCTGACAGGCTGCTGCCCAGTGCCTCCTCTAGGAGCCCTTCCCTGGCTCCCATCAGTCCATGGCCACACGATAGTTACTGAGCATCTATACATGCCAGGGGCTGGGACAATGCCTAGGACAAATGACTCTAGCTGGTTGCTTCCGATGGTATAGACAAGCCACTTCCATGTCAGAAACCTAAGGAACTCAGTGCACAGGGCTGGCTGGGGCCGGGGGGGGGGGGGGGGGCACAGCGAACCCTGGCCCGCATGACTGCCTTTCAGGAGACCTGCTCGCTTCTCCCCTGGGAATGTGCACACACATCTCTATCCGCTCATTCACTCACAGGTTCACGGGGCAGACTAGATCATTTTTACCGCAGCAGAACCAATGACAAGAAAGAGGGAAAGCCATTATGTAAGGAGCAAAGTAGCATAGTATGATCCTCCCAGTAAAGAAGAGCAAAGGGTAAGTAGTGAGAGGAGCCTGAGGGAAGGCCCCAACACCTGCAGCATTTCTGTCTGTCTTCCTGCGTTCCCGCCCCCAATCCTCTGTAATGCACAAGCTAGGGAAGTGAGGGGAACACTAAGATCTATTTGTATAGTCATAGCTGCTGCTCTCAGGAAGGTGACAGCCCAGCAGGGTTCCCACTTCCCTGTGCTTGGTGCTCTCCTGCCAAGGCCAAACTCTGGAGACCTGGGAGGGGCTGACAACCTTGTTAGTCACTTGACCAGACTACTGAAAACCCCTCTCTGACTCTGCCCAGTTTAGTGCTGGGCACCAGGAGGCTACACTGGCCTGCGGGAAGTAGGAGTCCCAATCTAAGGGAGGCAAGCACCCGTGTCCAGCAGGTCCCCAAGAACAGGCTGCAGGAGTGCAGTCTGGGAAGGGTACGCATTAGCCCTAAAAGACTCCAGTGCTCTGCATGATTCCTGCCAGGCAACCCCCAGCTTGTGCTGCAGAAGGGCGGAAGCAGGACCCTCCACTGTCCCCTGGCGTGAGTTTCCTGTCTGCCGGTGGAGGTGGGGATGAGTAACGTCCGTTCCCTGCCCCCATGCATCCCTTCTGAAGGCCAGGCCTCAAGTTTTCCATTCAGGAAGGGGCACAGTGAGGGGCCTAGTAGAGTCATGGCAGGGGAATAGGAGGAGCGGCAGACAGGGTTAGGACCCTGGCCAACATGACTGCCTTTCAGGAGACCTGCTGGCTTCTCCCCTGGGAATGCGCACACATCTCCATCCACACTTTCACTCACCGATGCTTCCCCAGCACTGCCTTGTGCTGGGTCCTGTCTTATGGTCTCTGGGGTGCTTGCTAACAGTATGAGGAGGAGATGGGTCATGATAGGATGATGGGGTTTTTCAGCTCCAAGGCAATACCAGACCTTAAGGGCTCTGCAAAATGTCTCAATGGTTGTCTGTCTTTGGCAACTCCTAGACCAGAAGCTTTCTCAAGCTTTCAGAACACACAGAGCCCTGACAGACCCAAGAGAGAGCTCAAAGCCAAGAGCTATGCACGGGTAGGAGGAAGCCTGTGTCTCTTAGTGTATGAGGACTCTTGTACCTCATACAAAGGCCTGTCAAAGTGGAGGGAGGCGGGAACCTCTCCTGGTGCCGGTCAGACTTCCTCCACCCTTAATGCCCTCCCCTGTGAGATAGGAGAAGACTGATGTCCTCAAACAGGCCTCAAACATGGCTCCGACTGAGAGAGCCCTGTGGAACGAGGCTTGCTACCACCACCCAACAAAAGGACCTCAGCAGAGGTGGGAAAACTACCAGAGGGGAGCCTGGCGGGGGAAGGGACAGGGATGGGGGATAGGACTGGGACAGGGCAGGCTCGGAGACAAGTCCAGTGGTGAAAGCCGGCATGTTTTTCACTCTCTGGGTTCAACTGTCCCTACCAAGGTCCAGTCTTCTGTTTTGTTACACTTTAAAGAGAGAAGGCGGAAGTGGTGGCGCAGGTCTGTAACCCCAACACTCAGTGCTGAGGGAACTAGTTTGAGGCCAGTCTGGGCCATAAAGCAAGACCCTGTCTGTCTCAAAATCAAACACAAAAATAATTTAAAGAAGGGCAAGTTCCCTAGAGGTATAACCTGTACAAAGTGCCTGGCTTCCTGCCATCACAGGGGCGATGTGCCCAGCAGCCCTGCAGTCCTGGCATACTGGGGTGCGGCCTCAGGAACAAAGAAGCCACCTTGTCCCTAACAAGGAGGGGGGCCTCTATTTCCCTGGCTGCCATGCTCGAGGGCAGTCTCTATAAATGTCAGCTCGCCTTTTCATTTGGGCCACAAACATTCAGCAGGCCCCTGTAATGGGCCAGGCACGCAGCTGGAGGAGCGCAGGGCAGAATGAAGGCCAGCATTAACACAGAGTACAGGGTACCTTATAGAACTGGGGCGGGGGGGGGGGGGGGGGGGGGGGGACGGACGGACGGACATTCAGATACCTCTCCATCCAATGCACTCCAGAGAACTAACAGCCAGTTGTGCTTAAAGGGGAGTTTGGGGATAGACACACAAGCAGAGTTACGGCTGAGTTTGTTCCCACCCCTTAGTCCTTCAAGAACAATAAGAGACATGGGCTCACTTACGGGGGCCAGATTTCAGCTTGCGTCTACACCGACCACGCATTCTGAGACACGACTGGAGGGCTAGACCAGGACTTCGAGCTGCAATCATGACCAACCGAAACCCTGTGGGAAATCCTGGGACCTTGGTCACCAGGAGGCCCCAGGGACATGAGAGGCACCAGAGACCGGACCAGATGTCTGGGTTTTCTTATTGCATATATACCCTCTGCCCTGGATCTAGGCTGGTCTCTGGCTAACAAATCAGTCTGCAGCTTCCAGAATCAGCCACTGATTCAATAATTAAATTGGTGGCTCACGATCAACACCATCCTCCCTTTTCCTAGCTCTGCTGTTTGCCCGCATAAACACTAGTCCTACCAGCAGGCCAGCCTGCCTGTCATTTGTCCAGTGCTTAGAGCCAGGAGGGGCCTGAGATATGTCTGACTCTGCCCTGCAGGTGGCTGCAGGGCAGCTAACCCCAGAACCTCTGCTTCTTCATCTGCACTGCATCACCACCACGTTCTAGGTCATAGCAAGGGATACCAAGGACATTACAGCCCCAGCAGAAACCCCCAGGTAGTTTGCTAACTATCCTGAGGACCTCAGTCCACTGAGACTCCAAGGTAGTGTTCTCGGGCAGTAACCATGGTTTCAAAAGGTACACTGAGGAACAATAGCACAACCAGACCTTTGGAGGGCTGAGACAGCCTTACTAAGCTGGACCGTGAGTGGGGGGGGGGGGGGGGGTCTAGATCTTTCTTGAGGAGGTACGACAAGGGTGCTTACTAAGCACTGTTCGCTTAGCTCTTAGGCTGCTGGGTGTGGCTCTCTCAGTCAGATGAGGCTGGAGGTCAGCTGCTGGGTTGTCCTAGCCCCAAACCCCCATGTGGTGGCCCCCATTGGGCCCCACCCCCGTGGGAACGCCACAAGGCAATACTAGTCTGGAGGCTCACAGCACGAGGGGGTCTTGCTGACCTCACGAGGCAGTAAGGCACAAAAAGCCTTTTCTTCTCCAGCAGCCTGGCACCCCACTCCTCACACAGCCACCCCCAGCTCCCCAGCTCCAGGCCCAGACACTTCCAGCTGCCTGTATGCTAGACTCCTCCCAGACAAAGCCAGACTCGGGCTGGGAGGGAAGACCAGCGTGTGGGTTCTGCCATGGAGATGAACTTTGACCCAAACTGCAAGGCTCCTACCCCTTATTTACTCTTTAAGGCTCACCCATTTTTTTTTCTGCAGAGTTAACATTACACCCCTTTTCAACCCTGAACCTCCCTTCTACATTCCAAGCTCTGACCTTTGACCTCTCCTAATTACCAGTCCCTATACCCTAGTTCTCTGAGGCCTAGCTCTGGGCTCATCCCTTACTTCTAGCCATCTAGGCCCGGAAACAAGAGCCCTACCAGAGGCCTCTGCCTACAGGTGTTATCCCAAATCTCCAATCCGGTCAGGCCCAGGTGACGCAGAACCCAGAGCCCATTCCAGGACTCTATATGGAACCATGGAGTGGACATAGGACTTCTGACCCTGATTCTCCAACACAGCAGCCCAGTCCATCCTGGTCAGCTACCAACCACCTGGCCACTGACCATGTGGCCCTGTCCCAAAGCCAGCCTCACTGTAGCCATAAGAACACAGCTCCGGGTCACACACATTCCTGACCTTCCCAGGCCTGAATCCTGGCGATTCTGAAATCCTTATTCAACAAACCCATGAACATAAACAGGTACAAATAGACAAGAGGTCACCCCACAGTCAATCGGGGGCCCTGCTTATGAAAACACCCTTCTCTCTCTGGGGCACTGGGGCTTGTGGAGATGCTGACAATACCAGCTCTCAAGTACAACAGGAACGCCCCAGTGTCACCTGGGTCCCACCACCCGGAGCACGTGCAGGCGTCTTATAGAACAATAAGCGCCCTCCCTGCCAGCTGCCCAAGGGGCACTCACCGTCCTCTTGGCTATGGAGGTTCTGCGGGCTCCGCATCCTCTCCTCCTGGCTGGGGCTCAGGCTGGAGGCCAGGTGGGGGTCAGCTGACATCCATGTGGAGTCATTCATATCAAAATCCTCACTGCTCACAGAGGTTTCATCCTGAGCAGAGACAAAGAAGACAGGTGTTCAACAAGAGCAGACGTACACTTAGAAAGGATCCCAGAGGGCACAGGGAGCCCCTAAGACCTTGTAGTGAGGGCTGGATGGCATTCCCCCTGACCCCTTCAAGTGGCTTGGGCTCTGGTTCCTAGCGGAAGCCAGGGTTAAGAGCCCATGCTGTCTGTAATTGAAGACAATTAAGAGGTCTCACATCCTGTGGAGCGGATAGCAGGGCCTGGCTCTTACCCTTGTGAGCCAAGGTTGAAATGAGTGCTGTAAACAAGAGCCACCATTCCCCACCCAGAGCCTGAGGAAAAGGGCTCACTCTACACAGTGCCTGCACTGAGTAGCGGGACATGCTGGGCACCGAGGAGGCCAAGGTGGCAGCCCCCACCAGGCCTGGTGCCAGCTCCTCTGGAGCATACATGGAATTCCTTTCTCCCACTCCCCCAGCCCAGAGGACATTTCTGTCTTCCTCCTTCCTAACCTTTGCTGTGCTTCAAAGATATGCTCTTGGGCGGCTTCCAGGGTTGAGCAGGCCAAACCCAGAAGTGTGGAGAAGGAAGGGGGTGGGGCCGGCCAGGGTTCGGATCACACCAAGAAGGGACAGGGAGAGAGGGTGCCAAGGCCTTCCAAACAGCAGACAGTCTGCTGGAGAGGACAGCAGTGGCTCCTCTCCCCAACTGCTGGTTTCAGTGTGCCCTTGGCCAGTCACTTGGGAATCCCCGGGATGGGGCCCCTTTAATTCAGCCTTCCAGCAGCAAAGAACCCCAACTCCTTCAGATCCAGCCCCTTTGAAGAGCAGCAAGCAACTGGGATGGCGCTCCAGTTGTAACACATGGGGAAGATGGCCCAGCAGTGCCACACATGGAGTCCTGACCTTGTGCCCCAACCCCTAGCAAGATACAATAGCCTCTGTGGGCCATGGCAGAGCACCCTTAGGGCCTTGGGGCCACTCCTACAGGGCCCTCACAGACATCTCTTTTATGGTGAGCAAACACACTTTGGTTTGAACTTTCTTCAACTGCTGTCCCTGAGGCAGACACATCTGCTCCAAGTGCTAGGGAACCGGAGGTTGAGTCTCCCTCCCTCCCCCAACCATGCCTGCTGGGAGCAGTTTCCTGGAATTCACAGCTTCGATACAGCAGTAGAGACCCTCCATGCTGAGTCCAGAGGACAGGAGCTGAGCCACAACACTGCAGGTCCAAATGGACACATGTGGAACCCTGGGAACAGAGCCCAGTGCTCTCCCATGCAAGTGCCAGTCACACACACTCATCCTCTGGGCTACCCACTACACACAAGCTTCCGACAGCCTGCCTCCATGACAACACATGTGCTCACATCAACAGGGACATACATGCATGCTCAACAGGCTCTCTTTTGCACAAGGTTATAACAGGAAAAGGTCTCTTGGAGGTATGGAGCTAGAACACAGAGCAGGGACTCTGTGCTCCCCTGCTGGCCCGGTGGGTGGGCTCTGGGATTCTTCCCTGGGCCTCTCACAGGCAGAAGCAGAACTCAGAAGCACTGTGGGGAATGCATGAATTAAGTGATTCTGTCTCCTAGTACTTTTTTTTTTTTTTTAAATCTTTTGAAACAGGAGCTACTTGAGCAGGTTGGTCCTACACAGGCAGGAGGATCTCTAAGTTCGAGGCTAGCCTAGCTTAGTCTGTAGAGTTGAGTTCTCTGACAGTTAGGGGCTACACAGAGAAAACTTGTCACAATACAAAACAAAAGAGAGAGGAGCTACCTATGTAGTCTAGACAATCCTCCTGTCTCGGCCTCCAGAATACTGCAGACACCTATTTAAACCCGTTCATTCATTCAAGTATTCCCTGGACACCAACTATGAGCCATGTTTGCTAAGTGTTGGAAATCCAGCTGTGAGCAGGCCTTGTTCCTGGCCTTCCTGCTACTCCCTATCCATGGAGAAGAAAGTGGCTGTTGCTGCCCAGGCTCCATGGCTCCTCTTCTTAAACAACCCGCATGTCTGTGCCACCAGCCTCGTCACAGCACAAAACTGCTGTGGGGCTCTATCCTATCACCCCAGAAAGCTCTCGGGCCATCCAGGAGTAAGGACCAGGCTGCCTGTTCTCTGAATTCCTCATGAGGTAGCAAGACTTGTTGAACTGACTAAACTGCCTGGCAGGATGTGGTGTTTAATGAGGATGTTGCATTAATCTGACAATTAAGGGCTCTGGTCCCACCGTGCAGTTCTTGAACGAGGGCCATATGAAAACCGGGACCCTGGCTGGAGGGCCAGCAGCTGCACGCTCCTCTCAGCTACAGCTGCTGCTATCCCACAAAAAAGACCTCAAATTGCTCTTGCTTAGACACCTGAACTGTTCAGGAAAATGCGCTCTATCTCACCCTGCCCAGCAAATGAACTGCATTTCATATTGGCGTTGAAATTACCTGGAAAGAAAATGCCAGGTTCCAGGCTCTGGGACAAGGGTTTCCTAAGATTTCCTCATAATGGCCCCATAAGGCCCCACAGGACAGGCCTCTCTCCAGGTCTAGTCACACAGCTCCTCAAACGCGTGCCCCAACTATCCAGGGTAACAGAACTTAGGGGCAGAACTGGGGTCTGAATCCAGACAGTCTGCACCCAGAGCCATGAAATTACACATTCCACCCTTTGATCAAAAGTGCCTGATTCCTTAATGACAAAGTGCCTATGATAATACCCAAAGGCAGCGGGGCTACATATGCTTAATGGCATGTGCATACACACATGCGTGCAGAGTTTTATGCATGCACATTACTGAACATCTACTTTGTGCTGAGTTGCCCTAGGGATCTATCTATATGGCTAAGGAGGGTCTCCTACCTTCAGACTTTATTTAGGGGGAGGAATCAGCTAAAACTTCTGGCTCATTTTCAAGTATGGGAAAGAGCTGCAGGGGCGGGGCGGGGGCTGCATAGTTACTGAACATCAGTGGCTCTCTCCCCAGGGACTTTTCCATAGCCCCCAGGTTCCTGCCATCCCAACTGCTGCTCTGAGGGAATGGTGGCTCTGGGAATTTTGAAAACCCAAACGCTGACTGCTATGGATTTTTTTTTTTTAAGTAATCAAGCCTATTAAACCTAAACTTTCCAGAAAACAAACAGAACTGAGTAAGCTGTAGCTGTGGGTGTGGCCAGACTGAAAGGACCACCACCAACACCCACAGGTGCAGGGCTGACCTGGAGAGACCCTTCCACAAGCCCTGCTGTAGCAGAACTGGGTTGGTCCATGGGGCAAAACCACCACAGAGGAGCAGACTCAAACTCTCTCTACTCACCTATTCACCCCTGAGCTGAGGCTGGGAAGGCCGGCTAATTACACAGGCAATTACCAGAGCACACAGTTCAGACCCATCACCCAAGTCCAGAGGGACCCGTGGCGGGGGGGGGGGGGGGTGCAGGGAGGAAGAAAGGGAGGCAGCCAGGCAGCCAACCCAGGTCGGGAGTGTCTAAGACCCCAGGCACTCCCCTGCTCCCCCATGAGGTCACAAGTAGGTCACTTCTTGCTCCCTTCTTAAATCTCAGGAGAATTTGGGCTACTAATTTCTCCCTCTCAAATAACTTCACCGAAAATAAAAGTACATATGCCACGCTTCTAAAATCCCTCCTGAGATTCTACATGACTGGCCAGCGAGCTGTGGCAAGATCCCCCAGCCTAGCCTTTGCCCTTTACATCCTGAAGTCTGTGGCCTTGCCCACCTGGCAATAAAAGTTCATCAGACCATGCACCATAGTGCTTTTGCCATCATGGGTCACAGGGCATTAGGGCCAACTAACCTTCTGAAAAGCGGAACTCCTGTGTTGGCCAGGCAGGGTGGGTAGCACCCAGTCTTTAGGACACACCCCCCAACCTTGGAGTCTTCACTCTGGGCAGAGAGAGAAGCGCTGACTAAACCCTTGAGCCTCTTATCTTCAGTCCAAAATTCAGAAGCCAGTTCTATTTCTCCCCACCCAGCTAGCCCGGGCCCTTCCTCCTCTGCAGGCCTCGGCAGCACCAACCATTGTGCAGCCCGGAGGAGGGGAATTCGGGAGACACATGGAGGAAAGTGGAAGCAGGCCTGTATCCATGGCTGTAACTATGGGCAGGTGCTATCAGTAACCTGATTATTTTACAACTGGGGTCAACTTCTCTGGAACTGGGTTCCTGGTGCCTCTGAAGCTGAGCCATTTGCATCTTCCAGGACTCAGAATTCTGGGGCGTGCCTCCTACAGTATTTTCCAGGCCTTTCCTCGGAGCTGTAACTCTATCTCAACCACTCACTTGAGAAAGAAAGGGAGGAGGATTTACCGAGAATTCAGTGCTAGTGGAGGCCATAAGGCCTGATCTGGAGCCCTGGGTGTGGGTTTCAGACCATGGTGGGGGTGGGGATGTTCAAGGATGCTCCTAGGCGAGGCAGGAAACAGGCACTCCAGGCTGGCTGCCCCCTCCCCCACTATCCCCATGTTTTTGGGCAACAGGAAAGAATACCAGTGTGGGCAGTTCTGCAGCCCCAGCTCTCAACCTACCATATATATTAGGATGTGGGAGGTGGCTTCCCAGTGTTGGGCACTGCCTTCTGGGTCACCTGTGAGCCGGGCCAGGTCAGGGAACGCTCAGCCTTGGAGCTACTCGGGTTAGCATTATGCTTTATCACTCCAAATATGCCAAGAAAGTGCTGAACCACATTTGACCCCAACCTAACTACTTCAGGCACTTACTAATGGAAACTGAAAACTCCCAGGATCCAGAGCAAGCAAAGGTTCATGCCCCTGTTGTGATGTTGTGATACTGTTACATGAAAGAAACAGGAGGATGATCTGAGTTAGCTCCTGAGCACTTGGGGCTTCCAAGCTGGTTGTCAAATTCTGTACCCCATCGATGCCCACCTGGCCACCAGAAGAGGCGATGAGTTTTCCTGAGACACAGCCCACACAATTCTACTTCTTGCTAACAGACCTTGGCTTACCAGCCATACAAACACATTCTTGGAGGGAGGGGGAACGGAGTGGGG